CAAATAAAAGCAACAAAACAGGTGATTCTTCTAAAACCATTATCACACTTTTAAAAAAAAGATGTTTCAGTGATACTATTTTTAAATCTTTAGAGTTAATTCATCTCTATCAGCCTTTATTTCCAAAATCAAAGCCATACATCATATTTGATGGGTTTACAAAGGCTCAAAAAGCACTTGCTGATTAAAATTGACAAATCAAGGCCAGATGCAGTGGCTTACACCTGTAATCTTAATACTCTGGTAGGCTGAGGCAGGTGGACTCAGCCTGAGCCAGAGCAAGAACCCGCCTCTGAAAATAGCCAGGCATTGTGGCTGGTGCCTATGTCCCAGCTACTTAGGAGGCTGAGGCAAGAGAATGGCTTAAGCCCAAGAGTTTGAGGACACTGTGAGCTATGATGCCACAGCATTCTACCCAGGGCAATAAAGTGAGACTTCATCTCAATAATTAATTAAATTTAATAAAAAACATTCTGAAATAAATAAATTGACAAATCAAAAATTTTATGTTTATCATATACAGCATGTTGTTTTAAAATATGTACACATTGGGAAATGGCTAAATCCAGCTGATTAACACATTGCCCCAGATACTTATTTTTTTATGGCCAGAACACTTAAAATCTATGCTCTTAGCAACATTTTCTCCAATACACTGTTATTAATTGTAGGTACCATGTTGTATGCCAGATGCCTTGAACTTATTCCTCTGGCCTAACGAAAATTTGCATCTATTGGGCAACATCCTCCACACTCCCCCTACGCCACCCAGTAACCACCATTCTACTCTCTACTTACGAACTCAAGGTTTTACACCCTGTTTTTATACCCCACATGATCACGCTGTACTCCGCTTTCCCTGCCTGGTTTATTTCACTTAACATAATGTTCTCCAAGTGGATCTGTGTTGCCTCAGATGGGGCATTTCCTTCTTTTTAAAGGCTGGGTAGTATTCATTCCACTGTGTATATTTTGCTGGTCAAATTTTTCTAAAAATAATGAGATAAAAATGATGGCTCTAGGTCTCAGATAATCCATCAAGCAAAGGCTTACCTTATTCATGATGATATACCTGGAAATTATTATTTTTTTTTTTTGAGACAGAGCCTCAAGCTATCCCTCTGGGTAGAGTGCCCTGGCATCACAGCTCACAGCAACCTCCAACTCCTAGGCTCAAGCGAGTCTCCTGCCTCAGCCTCCCACAGGCGCCCAGCTACACACACTCGGCTATTTTTTGGTTGCAGCCATCATTGTTGTTTGGCGGGCCTGTGCTGGATTCGAACCCACCACCTTAGGTGTATATGGCTGGCGCCTTAGCCACTTGAGTCACAGGCGCCAAACCTACCTGGAAACTATTAAAAGATAAACTACTCTTTAATACAAATTCAAAAAATGATACCCCAAATTTAGCAAGTTTTTAAAATACCATTAGACCCCGTCTACAGTGGACAAACCACGACCTCTCAGGGTCTAGTTTTCTCAGCTGTGAAAAGGGCTGCATGAGATGAGGCTTTTCCTCTGGATCTATGGTTCATACTTTATAACCTGCAGTCATCTGAAATAAAAAGCAGCCTGACTCTAACCTTTTATACCCCATGGTATTGCTTGTATCTGTATTATCATAAAGATTTTTACTAATTCAGCTCTTTCTTATTCATGAAATTTCTGTGCATGAATCCAAGAAATCTGATCATCACCAAAGCCTTAAGAAAATTCTTTATTCAACTCCTACCAGGTACTCTTAGATCAGAAGTCGCAGGTCTCGGGAAGTTCAGTGTCCTTAAGTCTGACTGAGATGTGCACCCTCAGCACCATCCACACCCTGCACACCTGGTAACTCGGACGCCAGGGCTGACGTCCCCAGTTCCATCCCACTCTTGAGCTTGGCGACAGCTGGGGCGGGTGGTAAGACAGAGGTCCCCTTGCGTAAAACCCACAGGAAGGAAGTTCAATGGCTTGGCTTCCCTTCCCCTCCCTCCTGGAATAAGACCCTGGCTGTGACCCCACCATGTCCTCTCCCTCATGTCCCAGCACTCTCTCCACTGCAGCCACTCCTGTTCCCTCGACTGTGCCTTGGACACAGGCCCACACCCCAGATGGCCGTCCTTGCCAGCTTGCTCCCTTCCTCCTTAAATGTCACATTCTCGGAGAGGTTTTTCTGTCTAAAATAGCACCCCGTCCTCCTTACTGAATACCCCACTTCCCGGTTTATTTGTCTTCCTAGCACGCAGCACCTGACACGGCATGGCCATTTGTCTGTCCTCTGCCTCCTACCAACAGGGACTACCTGTCCAATGCTTTATCCCCAGCACTTGGGTGTTCAGTAGATCTTGGTTCTACCTCTCTGTTAGTTTTTTTAGGGCTGTTGTAACAAAGAAGTCCACAATCAATAAATGGGCTGGGCAAGGTAGCTCACAGCTGTGATTCCAGTGCTCTGGGAAGCCAGGGCAGGTAGATTGCTTGAGCTCACGAGTTCAAGACCAGCCTGAGCAAAAGCAAAACCCTGTCTTTACTAAAAAACAGAGAACTAGCCAGGCATTGTGGTGAGTGTCTGTATTCCCAGCTACTCAGTAGGCTGAAGCAAGAGTACTACTCAAGCCCAAGAGTTTGAGGTTGCTGTGAGCTATGATGCGGCAGCACTCTACTCAGGGTGACAGAGTGACACTCCATTTCAATAAACAAATAATAAAATAAAATGGATAAATGGCAAATTTATCTCAAAAAACAAAACAGAAACAATGTTGTTATTCTACCCTCCACGTCCCCCCATTTATGTAAGTCCTTAGACTGGAGCCAGGAGAGCAGGATACTGAAAGTGCAAAACATCCCTAAGAACTGGACAGGCCTCGATCCCATTCGACTGTTTCTCCCTTTCCCTACACACATCATCTGCCTCACGCAAGTCAGGGAATGCTGCCTCCAGCTTGAGAATTCCTGAGCTGGATCTGCACACCCAAACAACTCTTGGGTTCCTATGTCCGGTTTTAAAGGAAAACCTTAGGAGTATATATCTACTCACCCCTGCTGGCACCGAGCTGTGACGCCTGCATGTTGTAAACACGCCTTGCAGGAGGCCAGCAGTTGCCTGGCCACAAGCTGTAATCGCTGCCTATCTCTGCCTGCCTGAGAGCCATCTGGCAAGGGTCATTGCTGCTTTCCGGTTATTAGTGCTGGGCTGCTGCACAGGTGGTACACTAGGGTCAGGCTGCTCAAATCACCACTCACCCCAAATTCCCTGCTGTCTCTGACCTAGGGAGCTAAGAGCTTCAGAGTAGAGCTAAACATTTTCCAATTCCCACCTGGCACCCAGGCTCCAAACTCAGAATCTGCCCCAGACAGCATCAGAGCCAAATATAGCCTCTTCTAGCCTGATATCTCCTACTTACCCGTCATTATGGCCATCCTCCTTCTCAGCACGGTGGGAAAATACAAAAGTTCCATAGGGCACAAAGAGAGCACATTTGACCAGCTTTGGCTTTCCTAGACTTGACCCCATTTCCTTATCCAAACACGTGCAAGCACACACATACACACCCCCCTACACACATGTACACATATAAATACACACAAGTTTCAGGCAGATTTCAATATCTATTTCATTCTTTATTTTTTTCCTAGGAGTTACCCATAAGCAGTAAAGTGGTCAAAAAAGCAGATCAAAGAAGAAAAGGCAGTAAAAAATCCTAAGAAGTACTTAAAGAGCAGTTCTGAATAACTGATTTAACAATTTTAAACTTAACATAAATATTCTTTTTTGAGGGGAGGCAGAGTCTCAAGCTGTTGCCCTGGATAGAGTGTTGTGCCATCATAACTCACAAAAACCTCAAACTCTTGGGCTCAAGAAATTCTCTCACCTCAGCCTCCCAAGTAGCTGGAACCATAGGCACCTGCCAGAACACCCAGTTATTTTTTATTTTTTGAGACAGTCTCACTTTGTCACACTCAGTAGAGTGCTGTTACATCACAGCTCATAGCAACCTCAAACTCTTGGTCTCAAGCTGATTCTCTTGCCTCAGCTTCCCAAGTAGCTGAGACTACAGGCACCTGCCACAATACCTAGATATTCTGTTGTTGTTTGTTTAGCAGGCCGAGGCTGGGTTCGAACTCACCAGGCCTAGTGTATGTGGCTGGTGCCTTAACCTCTAAGCTATAGATGCTGAGCCAACTTGGCTATTTTCATGTGAGACGAGGTCTCACTCTGGCTTAGGCTGGTCTTGAACCTATGAGCTCAGGCAATCCACGCACCTGGGCCTCCCAAGTGCTAGGATAATAGGTGTGAGCCAATGAACTGACATAAATATTCTTTTTTTTTTTTTTTTTTTTTTTGAGACGGAGCCTCAAGCTATCCCCCTGGGTAGAGTGCCATGGCATCACAGCTCACAACCACCTCCAACTCCTGGGCTCAAGCAAGTCTCCTGCCTCAGCCTCCCAAGTAGCTGGGACTACAGGTGCCCGCCACAACGCCTGGCCATTTTTTTGGTTGCAGCCATCATTATTGTTTGGCGGGCCCGGCCTGGGGATTCGAACCCGCCACCTTACGTGTATCTGGCTGGCGCCTTAGCCGCTTGAGCCACAGGCGCCAAGCCAACATAAATATTCTTGAGAAAAATACTGTTCACCTGGTTGGGGACAGTGGCTCATAGCTGTAATCCCACCTACTTGGGAGGCTGAGATTGCTTGAGTTCAGGTAGTTTGAGACCAACCTGGGTGATATAGTGTGACCCCCATCTCCAAAAAAAAAACTACCCAAGAAATTTTTCAGCTACATCAGTACTATATAAAATTCTCAGAAAAAGCTGGAAGGACATATGTACACTGGTAGGTTAACAATGGGTGGGTAATTCTGCATGAAAGAATTATAGGTGATTTTTCTTTTCTATTACAATAATCATGGACTTCTTATAATAATAAAAAGTAAACAATAAAAATATTATAGTAATAATAAAATAATAATTGTGTCCCCACCTCCATGCAATCCAAACAGTATACGCCCCACATACCTTGTTAAGTTTGCCAAGTGAAGATATGAGATCCGCCCATTCACTTGAAGATTCAAAATTTCTTAAAGCCTTTTCAATCACTGAAGAGTAATTTCTGTATCTATAATCATTTAATAGCTCTTGCTCTTCTGGATCCATCTTACATTCTCACAGCAAAGAACAGTATCTAAAAGTGAATCAAAATAACCAAATGAAAGAGTCATTCAAGGACACAAATCATTCCTGACCCAGCACTACAGAAGGCAGGTGTCTACAAACACTGCCAGGTACAGTGCACTCGGCAGCACAGTTCAAGTATTTAGCAAGGCTTCTGGGCCAGGTGCTATGGTAGATTAAAGGATAAACAGTTCTGGCCCTCGTTGATTCTGAAGGAGACACATGCATAGGAGCAGAAAGCAGGGGTTTCACTTAATTGAGAAAATTAATTCTAGGAGAGAAACCTACAAAATTGCCAGCAGGGAATTGTGAACGCTGAAGGCCCTCCCTATCACAGTGTATTCATAAACCTAAGGAAAAGCTCTTAACCTGAACAGACTATGTAGCAATTCCATCCCCTACAACAATACTAGAAAATAGAGAATATTCTACCAGAAAATCAGGTGGAAAAAATATAACATTACAGAAAATGAGGATGTAATGATTAATGATGAGGCATCTGATGGCAGCAATGTCATAAATCCAAGCGCCTGTTCAGTTACTAATTAGGCTCCAATTATCAGCAAGACCCAGCTGGGTGCTGCCCTAGGCTTTATGCCTCCCCCAGTGCAGAGTTTGGATGAGGGTGTATTACACCAGGGTTCAACCAGGCTCATTCTATTCTTCTTGCTCTCATATATTCTCTGATGGATTCTTTTATTTTATTTTTTTGCTAAATGCATTTATACATGAACCAATGCAGCCATGGCAAAGCCTAAGACATACGCCATCTAATCCCAGAACAACCACTTTGTTTTCTTTTTATCCCTTATGTGACAAAAGAAAAAAAAAGAATGAATGCTTCACTGATTGACTTTCTTAAAATACCCACTATAACATGTACAAATATAAATGCCTGCTTATGTCAAATTTTGTTTTTATTCCTTCACTAAAACCCCCCTGAAGGTTAAGCCATCAGTCTATTCAAACTTACTACCGTGAGAGACACTTTGTAAGACACGGGTATGTCAAATCCTTCCTTTGATGTGTCACCAACTTTCATGTTTTAACATTCTCTCAAAAAGAGTGCTCTGGGGTTCAGATTTGTTCTTATTCTTTAGTCCTCACCTCATAAAGTTCTGTTTTTTATTTTTAATTTTTTAAAAGAACAGATATTTAGGCTGGGTGTGGTGGCTTATGGCTATAATCCCAGCACTCTGGGAGGCCAAGGCCGGTGGATCAGTTGAGCTCAGGAATTCTAGACCAGCCAGAGCAAAAGTGAGACTCCTTCTACTAAAAGGTAGAAGTAGCTAGAAAAACTAGACAGGCGGCTTGGCGCCTGTGGCTCAAGTGGCTAAGGCGCCAGCCACATACACCTAAGGTGGCGGGTTCGAATCCAGCCCGGGCCCACTAAACAACAATGACGGCTGCAACCAAAAAATAGCCAGGCATTGTGGTAGGCGCCTGTGGTCCCAGCTACTTGGGAGGCGGAGGCAAGAGACTCGCTTGAGCCCAGGAGTTGGAGGTTGCTGTGAGCTGTGATGCAGCACTCTACCCAGGGGGACAGCTTGAGGCTCTGTCTCAAAAAAAGAAAAGAAAAACTAGCCAGCCATTGCAGCAAATGCCTATGGTCCCAAGCTACTCAGGAGAGTGAGGCAAGAGAATCACTTGAGCCCAGGAGTTGAGGCTGTTGTGAGCTATCACGCCACAGCACTACACCCAGGGCAACAGAGTGACACTCTGTCAAAAGGAAAAAAAAAAAAAGAATAGTTATTTATTTATTATTTTTAAATAAAGTTCCATCTAATGTGTGGTAGACACACCTACCCCAAATTCCTTGTCCCTCTTCTCCATACTAAGGGAACCCTGATTCTGTTCAGGGCAGTGCTATAGTGTCCAGGTTCCCTTGCAGCGAGTTGGCCATGTGACAACTCTGGACAGTGAGATGTCAGTAGAAGCTGTTGCTAGGAAACCTGCTGGCATAAGCCCTTTCCCCTTTACTCTTCTTTCTAAATGGAATAAAGCTTTGATGTTGGAGTGAAGCCATCTTGCAACCATGATGAAATGCGCACAAAAGTCACATTTGTGGCTGAGTTTTCCACTGAGGGTGGAAAGATAGAGCAGCCGAGGCCCCAGTGGAATTATGAAGGGACCATGTACAACCCTGGAGGCTCTACATCGGGTCTATGTATGTTTTCTGCATGTAACAGTTAATTTGTGTAAGCCACAGTTCAATCAGGTTTTCTATTACAGACAACCCTAAGCCCGACTGATACTGCTTAGTCTGAAAGGAGACAGAAACATCAAACAATATGATATAATTAAACATGATGGTGCACAGTTAAGTTGGTTTGTTCATTAACCAAGCTGAACTTAGTCAATCAAGTAAAAAGGAAAGTATGAGGTCAAATGATTAAGTTTGCAAACATCCTAGAGAAAGCGCTACACACCTCATTGCTGAATATCACTATGGTCACCTTTGAAGTACTCCCCTTGGGAAGCTATGCACTAATGCAGCACCTAGGCCACCTTTCAAAGTACTTTTTCCAGGATGCGTTTGCAAGCTTAACTGTCTAACCTCGTGAGGTAGATGCAAGGAGGCGAAGTATAAGTGCAACATGCTCATTAAGCCAGAATCTTTCATTTGTTGGCCAGCGATGTTCTAAGAATTTCACAAGCCCCTCTGTGGCAAGATTCAGGCTGAGCATTTGGCAGGCACTACCTCTAAAGAGAATCAACCATGCTTATGGTAGGGATTTTGTGCACAGTAGTTCAGAGGCCATTAGGCAGACAGACTACAGACTGACAAAAGGCATGGTGTCTCTCGTTTGTACAGACTGGATTTGTCACAAATTTACCAAGTTAAGAATTCCAGATAATGTATTTCAGCCTTCAGCTGCAGATCATGAAAAGTATGGTGGGGATCCAGATCCACAGAACCCTCATAAACTGCATACTGTTACTAGAATAAAAAGTACAAAAGACAACCATACTAGGAGAAAGATAAAATAAAGATGCTTGGGTTAGAAAAAGCACATACCCCTCGGGTTCACAAGAATATCCCTTTGGTGAATGCAAAACTGAAAGTGGTCAAACATTGGATAAGAATCACTCCCCTGGCTCCGCACCTATAGCTCAGCAGCTAGGGCGCCAGCCACATACACCGGAGCTGGCGGGTTCGAACCCAGCCTGGGCCTGCCAAACAATGATGACAACTCCAACCAAAAAATAGCCGGGCATTGTGGCAGGTGCTTGTAGTCCCAGCTACTTGGGAGGCTGAGGCACGAGAATTGCTTAAGTCCAAGAGTTGGAGGTCGCTGTGACACCACGTAGCTGTGACGCTACAGCACTCTACCCAGGGCAACATAGTGAGATGCTGTCTCAAAAAAAAAAAGAAGCCCCTGAAGCTGCCCCAAGACTTCCAAAAGAGGCAGACATCTCTAACACGCGGCTCAAGACCACTAGAGAATCAGTAATACAGTGGCACCTGAAACCTGTGGAGTTAAAGTTAAATCCTGATGCCGGAACAGCTTCAGATTAAACAATGCAAATTGTTTAAAAAGGATGAGAATGTTTTCATTAAAATAGATTTTCAAATACCCCCCAAGGCTCGGCGCCTGTGGCTCAAGTGGCTAAGGCGCCAGCCACATACACCTAAGGTGGCGAGTTCGAATCCCCAGCCTGGGCCCACCAAGCAACAATGATGGCTGCAACCAAAAAATGGCCAGGCGTTGTGGCGGGCACCTGTGGTCCCAGCTACTTGGGAGGTGGAGGCAGGAGACTCACTTGAGCCCAGGAGTTGGAGGTTGCTGTGAGCTATGATGCCATGGCACTCTACCCAGGGGACAGCTTGAGGCTCTGTTTCAAAACCCCCCACCCCCAAAAAAAATTTCATGAAATTTTCGATATCACTTTCCCATCAATCCCCAGTCTTCTCAGGGCCACTCCAGTCTTCTCAGGGCCACCACTGCTTTCAAGTCACCAATGCCAGGAGTCCCTTCTGTTTCCTCACTTTAGCTCTTCCTGCAGGACTCTGCAGCAGACCACTTCCTCCTCCTCCAAACGGCCTCCTCTCAGCCCACCCACTCCTTGGGCACCACCAGCCCAGAGTTAGTTTCTCACTTCTCTCAGCACTTCTTTCTTCCTCCTCTACTCACTTCTAAGTGCTGGCATTCCCTGGTATCAGGCCTTGGGACCTTTTCCTCTCTCTCTGTATCCTTGATCATTTCTCTATTCCTGTAACTTCAAAATACCATCTACATGTTGGCATGGATAAGGAGAGAAGGGAACGCTTCTACACTGCTGGTGGGAATGCAAGCTAATACGACCTTTTGGAAAGAAGTTTGGAGAACACCCAAGGAACTAAAAGTAGACCTACTGTTCGATCCTGCAATTCCTCTACTAGGTATATACCCAGATTATCAAAAATCATTTTACAACAAAGACATCTGCACCAGAATGTTTATTACAGCCCAATTCATAATAGCCAAGACATGGAAACAGCAGCAGTGCCCATCAACCCATGAATGGATTAACAAATTGTGGTGTATGTACTCCATGGAATACTATGCAGCCATAAAAAGATGGAGACTTCACATCCTTTATGTTTACCTGGATGGAGCTGGAACATATTCTTCTTAGTAAAGTATCTCAAGAATGGAAAAAAATATATCCAACGTACTCAATAATAGTACTATGAAATCAATATATAATCGCCTACACACTCATGTGAATGGCAAAACATAACTATTGTCCAGAAAGTAGAAGGGAAGAGGAGAGAGAGGGGAGGGGAGGGGGATATGGGAGGAGGGAGGGTATTTGGGGGGACCTCGCCTAATGTGCATGATGCAATGGTACATTTCAAAACTATTAGAAATGAGTATAATTGTGATGGATGTGTTACCTAGTTCAATGTAAGCATTTCACACTGTATAATGAAGCAGTACCCTGAACCCCACAAATGCATCAATGTACAAAGTTATGATTTAATAAAAAATACCATCTACATGCCAATGACTTAGATTAATGTCTTCCCCAACTTCCCCTGTGAGGTTCAGGTCCATATGAATAGACCTCTCCTCTCTCCACACGAATTTGGCATAGGTATCTCAAATCCAGTGCCTCCAAAACTAAACTAAACTGCTTGTGTCCCTTGCCCCCAATGCATGTGTTGAAATCCTAACCCTCAAGGTGATGGCATTAGGAAGTAGGGCCTTTTGGGAGGTGTCTGTGGCTCAAAAGGGTAGGGCACTGGTCCCATATGCTGGAGGTGGCAGGTTCAAACGCAGCCCTGGCCAAAAACTACAAAAAAAGAAAAAAAAAACAAAGTAGGGCCTTTAAGAGGTGACTGGGTCCTCCTGAATGGGATTAGTGTCTTTTTAAAATAGAACTGAGGAAGCTTGACTCTCCTTTCTACTATGTGAGGACACAGGGAAAAAGTATCATCTGTGAACCAGAAAGCAAGCCCCACCAGACATCGAATCTGCTACTACCTTCATCTTGAACTTCCCAGCCTCCAACTATGAGACATAAATTTCTATTATTTACAAGCAACCCAGTTTACGGTATTTTGTTGCAGCAGCCTGAATAAGACAAGTGCCCATCAAAAAATGTGGTCTATCGATAGGCATTTAATGTGGCACATACAGTGACAGAGGGTGCAGAGGGTGGGCGAAATTAACAAGATGTCTGATACTGGCAAGAAGACATGGTCTATCCATACAGTGGAACACTACTGGCAATGAAAAGAATAAAGTATCGACACTTGCTGCTACAACCTGGATGAACTTGAAAATACTCCTGTAGGAGAAGCAGCAAGCTACACAAGACCATATATTGTATGGTCCCATTTATACAAAATGCCCAGAGTAGGCAAATTGATAGATATGGAGAGACTAGAGGCTGCCCAGAGTGGTGTAGAAACAGGGTAACTGCCAGTGGGCACCGGCAGTTTACTGCCTCTTGCGAGAGAATGGAAATTTGCTAAAATTAGATTATGGTGATGGTTGTGCAACTCCGCAAATTTACTAAAAATCATTGAATTATATATTTGAATAAATTTTATGATCTGTAAGTCATCCCTCAATAAAGCTGGTTAAAACTAAACTCTTAATTACATCTTCTCTGAAAGTGGCCCCTCCATCCATGGAACCTTTTGTCATTCTGGACTCTTCTTTCCCTCCACTTGCCACACTCAGCCACTAATCTAAAACATAAATTAACGCATGTAACTGCCCTCCTTAATTTTTTTTTTTTTTTGAGACAGAGCCTCAAGTTGTCCCCCTTGGTAGAGTGCCATGACATCACAGTTCACAGCAACCTCCAACTCCTGGGCTCAAGCAAGTCTCCTGCCTCAGCCTACCAAGTAGCTGGGACCACAGGCGCCCGCCACAAGGCCGGGCTTTTTTTTTTTTTTTTTTGGTTGTAGCCATCATTATTGTTTGGCGGGCCCAGGCTGGATTCAAACTCACCACCTTAAGTGTATGTGGCTGGCGCCTTAGCCACTTGAGCCACAGGCACTGAGCCAACTGCCCTCTTTAAAACACATCCCATTAAACTTACAGTAAGTCCAAACAACCCCCTCCCCAGCTACCAAGACTCTACCCACTTCTGTCCTCCCTGCAGTGTGCATGTCCCCAGGCAGCCCAGGCCCCCACAGCACCTTTGTGTGTGCTGTGGTTCTCTGTAGAAATATAATATGCTGTGCATACATACCCACAAAACAAGACTCCCTGCTCATTCTTAGGAAGGCCTGTCCCTTTTTTTTCTGAAGTAACAGCCTTCGGGCTTTTGACAATCTCATGGAAAAGATAACAAGAGGCAGTAGTCTGCTCCTTTTGCCTAGTAAAGATTAAGAAGTTGGAATATCCAAACGGTCTGTCATTTTTTTTTTTTTCCAGAAAATTTACAGGCCCCAAATCTACCATCTCTGAACCACTGAAATAGTCCATACATAGTCCATTTACTCTATTAAGTGTCTAAGAACTGAGGAAAGAAACATGAATAAAGTAAGGTTTCTACTCTCATAGCTCCTAGAAGGAAATATAAATACAAAATGTCAGTTTAATGTGGCACACACAGTGACAGAGTCTGATATTGGCAAGAAGAAACTCAACTACCAACAGAGGCGTCCTCAAAGTCCACAGGTGTGGGCAGCTAGGGTTACCAGGAAGAGAATGCGTCAGTGATAAGGTGTGTGCTTAGGAGGTGGGGTGGCAAAGGACACCACTGCTCATGGCAAGGAGGGTGCCAGCCAGGCAAGAGCAGATAATTGAAGTGGGTCACTATTATGGTCGGTCATATGAAAAAAGTATCACTTGGCTTAACTAACAGCACCAATGAGAAGCGTAGAAATAGTCGTTAAAGCAAGCTCCTTTGTTTAAAAAAAAAAGAGGCATAGCATCTTACACTACCAAGCCAATTTTCAGAGTGAGTTTGGCAAATTCACCACTAATGCATGCATCTCTCTCATGCAATGTACAGTAGTCCTGTGAGGTGGAATTATCAGCCCCAAGATGAGAATACTGGAGATCAGGCCATTTGGAAAACTGCCCAGGTCACATATAGCAGCTGGCAGAACCAGATTCCAGCCCAGGTCAGTGAGACACTACTGGGCCTCTGCTACATTATGCTAGCGGTAAAATTAATAGTTTAGTCCTTAAATAACTTAGAGTCCTTAAATAACAAGATCATTTCCCCAATGATCTTGCAATCTTTCCTGGATACCTTTTCTGTGAGTAATCCCACAGTTCAGTAAAACTGATAGCCTACAAACAATTAGACACATAAAGCAGTAATCTATATATAAACAAGTATATCCAACCAGATATACCCCTACCTGCTAAAATCAAAAATGTCAGCAAGAACTCTCGCCTTATCCATTAATTGCTTAGAAAAACAAGTGGAGGCGGCGCCTGTGGCTCAGTGAGTAGGGTGCCAGCCCCATATACCCAGGGTGGCGGGTTCAAACCGGGCCCCGGCTAAACCGCAACAAAAAAATAGCTGGGCGCTGTGGCAAGCGCCTGTAGTCCCAGCTACTTGGGAGGCTGAGGCAAGAGAATCACCTAAGCCCAGGAGTTGGAGGTTGCTTTGAGCTGTGTGATCCTGCCACAGCACTCTACAGAGGGCGATAAAGTGAGACCTTGTGTCTGAAAAAAGAAAAACAAGTGGAATGAAAACCAACTGCCAGATCTCAAAGAAGTTCACAGTAAATATGTTTACATGAAGTAACATTTCTGAGTTAGATGAAAATGAGGACAGAGTAACCCTCCCATGAGCAAGAACATTTATCAATAGATAACAGATATGTAATATTAGTAACAAAACAAGACAATGAGCCACAGTCTACAGCACAGAAACACACATCACCAACTGGCTTAGTCAACTCTAGGACACATCATTTTGAACCTGGTCTTTCAAAATGGTAATTAAATTGTACTGGAAATTAAGACACATAATAGAAGTAGGCTGAGGGGGGGTGTTCTCCATCACCTTTTCAAAAAATCCTAGAAAGGTTTCCCTAATGTGAGGCCACTGTCCAGAGTTTGTGGCAATACCCACGGGTAATAGTTTTGGTCAGCAGCGGGGAATCCTGCCAGCCAGAGGGGCCGGGCCAGGCCGGCAGAGCGCGCACTGAGGCTCATCCCTTCTCCTGGTGACAGTTTGGAAGGCTTGGGGGTCTTCCCTTGACACGAAGGCCTTCGGTTCTGAAAGATCTGCATCATTTGCCTCCTCCCCAACGAGGACCGCACCAGCAAACAAAGGCTGAGTTCTCCGCCAGCGGATGGCGGGGCTGTGACCCCCCTGACCTCCACCTGCCGGACCAGAGGTCGCACCCGGCTGGGCGAGGGCGTGGCCGCACGTAGTCCGCCACCAGGAGCCAAGCGGAGCCTAGGGTAACCCGGAGGCAACCCCACCCAGCTACCCGGCAGCCGTCGGGGGTCTTCCGCCGGCGCCCCACGCCCACGCGCCGCCTTGGCGGAGCCGCCCCCGCACTGCAGCAGGGAGCGCCGCGGGCCTGGCTGCGCGCCGAAAATCCACCTGCACCCCGGACCGCCCTTATGGCGCCGCCCGAGCCCTGTGTACCGAGGAAGGGCTCCCGCACCTCCTAGCCACTCACCGGCCCGCGGTGAGGGGACGCCCGCCCCCCCAGCTTTGCCTGGCGGCCGAGGGCTGGATGCCGGGTGGGGCGCGGGCACGACTTACCTGCGCCAGCGGCCCTTCTTGTCCGGCGCGTCCACGTGCCGCACGGAGGAGCCTACCCCGGTGCTGGAGACACAACAGGACGGGGATGTGGCGCGGCCGAGAGCCGGGACAGCAGAGTAAGCGCCGCGCCCGAACCCGGCGGCCACGGTTCGGAAGGAGGGCGGGGAAAGGAGGCGGAGCTTTGGCACGCGGGGCGGTACTGGAAGGCTGGGTCTTGACGCATAGAGGTAGGATCAAGGGCGGGGGCACGGTGCGTAGGGCGGGGCCTGGAGGTGCACCCTCGGCGCTCAGACACCGAGTCCCCGGTCTGGGGGCGGGGCTTAGCGCGGAGTTCCCTGTGCGCAGGGGCGGGGCAGATCCGGGAGGCGGGGCCTCAGCGGGATGGGGCTGTTCTGGCGCCGCCGCTGCCGAAGTCTTGGGGCCTGAGTCTTCCTCAGCTTCCCAACCGAGGACGGCGCTAAGCCGCCCGGCAGTTCCCGGGAAGGCCTAGTACAGGTGGGCGGGGTGGCATTCGCTCCTCACTTTGGGCTCCCCCGGCGCATCCGAAAGGAAGGGACATGGACATTGGTCACTGCCTGCCCGAGGTTGTCCTTACGTTCTTCTTCAGCCTGTGTGTTTTGGAATTACAGTAAAGGAGAACCATGGGGTCCGAGGAAAGTTCATGGCCCCTGGCTCACACCACACCGTTCTTTCCATCGGGATCACACCCAAACTCTCTTCTTGGGGTGGTGGTTAGGCCTAACGAGCCGTTCCATACACACTCGGGGTACAGAAGACGTACCTCGGTAATTCACCCCCAGAGGCCTCATCTTTCCGACCGTCGTTGGCAGGGGAGGAGAGGTCATTTCTTCCTGGGATGAGTTCCTTGTGTGGGCCCGGCTCGGGAAGAAGAACTTGATGTCAACTATAAAAAGCTGAGTATTTCCAGTCAAACCCTCACCGCTTCCTCCCGCTTTCCTGAGAGCTGCAGGACAAGACCTTGAGGTGGGGAAGTCAGGTAGAGCGCCCCTGCCTGACATTGGCCCCAACCGGGTGGCCCAACTGGGGCTCCCAGCCATCACACTCAGTGCCACCTGCTAATTAAGGTTGTGATAGCTGTAGTGACCCCTCCTCATTTTATCCCCTGAAAGTCGTATAGAAATTTTCAGCTCAGCCGGGTGTGGTGGCTCACGCATGTTGTCCCAGCGCTGTGGGAGGCCGAGGCGGATGGATCGCCTGAGCTCAGCCGAGTTGGAGACCAACTGAGGACCAGCATGAGGCAGAGTGAGACCCTGTCTCTACAACAACAACAACAACAACAACAACAAAACAGCCGGACCTTGTGATCCCAGCTACATGGGGGGCAAGAGAACACTACAGGAGAAAGAAGTAAAAAAAGAAATTTTCAGCTCTAGCCTGGAGTTGGTACTCCGTGAATGAGCAGGTGAATTGTCTGAGCTCAGGAGTTCTAGACCAGCCTGAGCAAGAGCCAAACCCCATCTCTACTAAAAAAAAAAGAAAAAAAGAAAAACTAGCCAGGTGTTATGGCAGGTACCTATAGTTCTTCCAGTGACTCCAGAGGCTGAGACAGGAGGATCACTTGAGCCCAAGAGTCTGAGGTTGCTGTGAGCTTTGATGCCACAGCTGTATACTCAGGGCAACAGAATGAGACTCTGTCTCAAAAAAGAAAACAAACAAACAAAAAATGAACCGATGAAAAGATGCTCAAATATAACAAGACAGAAAGAGATGTAGAGCTGGGTTGAGCGCACTTGCTCACACCTTTAATCCTAGCACTCTTGGAGGCGAAGGATTACCTGAGCTCAAGGGTTCAAGACCAGCCTGAGCAGTGGTTCTCAACCTTCCTAATGCCATAGCTCTTTAATGCAGTTCTTGTGGGTTGCGACTCACAGGTTGAGAACCGCTGAGCCTGAACAAGAGTGAGACCCTGTCTCTACTAAAAATAGAAACTTAGCCGGGTGTTGTGGCAAGTGCCTGTAGTCCCAGCTACTGAGGTAGCTGAGGCAAGAGGATCACTTGTGCCCAAGAGTTTGAGGTTGCTGTGAGCTGTGACACCATGGCACTCTACCCATAGTGACAAAGTGAGATTCTCTCTCTCTCAAAAAAAAAAAAGTTGCAGCACTAAAGAAACAAGATAAATCATCATCCTTACAAAATCAACAAACTAGGAACAACAAATGTCCCATCAGCTGAGAACTTGTTAGATAGGCAGAGTCTTTGGTTCCTCCTCAGATCTAGACAACTGGAAACTCTGGCGCTGGACCCAGTGATCAGGTCTAACCAGCACCACAGGTGATCTGGATACCCACTGAAAGGTTAGACTACGTTCTTCCCCTCAGGCTAACTTACAGCTTGATATATCAGTCGTTCAGCTCCAGATTCCAGGACTAGATACCTTTCTCCTAGGGAGATTTGAATGGCTATTCCTTCCCAAGGACAAGAATCAAACCACAGCATCAGGATTCATTCATTTGTTGCACCAATGTTTATTAAGCCTTAAGCTCCAAAGCAGACATTCACCAGCTTTGCACAACTTTGTCATGGAGCAGCTGGCCTTGAGGCTCAGTTGCATCTGGTGGCAGGAGGGCCAAGTAGACAGGGGTCTCAGCCCCCTCTTCCACAGTCCTGGAGCCGTAATCCCCAGCCATGTCAGTCTTCACCCATCCAGGGCAGCATGCATTCAGCAGAATCCTGTCGGCTTTTCTCTTCTCATCCAGACGCTTGGCCAAGATTCTTGATAAGACTGTGACCCCCAACTTGGACACCCCATAAGCTGAGTCAGGCCAGCCTTCCCTCTCATGCACCTCATTTTTTGTGTCCTCCACAAACTTTTTCATGAGGTCCACTAGGTCCCCCTCTGTGAGTGTTTCACATCGGAACTTTTCCTGCAGATCTTCGCTGCAATTTTCAAGAGCTTTTAAACCCTGTAAACTACTGATATTCACCACTCTCCCTGAAACAGAAAAATAAAATGTATGAAAGCATGTCACAAAGAAACAATCCTTGGTTGAATATGCCAAACATGCAATTGAGTTGAAGTTTAATTGCTGATCAAAACAAAAAGTGACCCTAGAAGGCATAGAATCTGTGCACCCCTGGGTTTTATCCTTTCAGGGAGGCATCGGTCTCTCAAGAGAAAGAACACCCCTCCATCAGTAACAAGCACCCCTTTCCGCAGAGATTCTCCAGGAGACGGGTAGGGTGGGGGGTAGGAAGATTTCCCAGATGGTTTCTAAAACCACTGCCTTCTCACTAACACCTTAGGAGTACTCATGAACCTGTTTTCTGGGGAACAGTGCCTTCACCCTGAGAACGAAAGCTCTCACTTTTCTGAGTTTGCACAATTTTCCAAGGCCATAGGCAGCTACCTCTATCCCTGAGTGCCCCAAACCAGGGGATACCTGGGGAGACCCTTGTCTGTCCTTCATGATGAACACTTCCCCACGTGGAGTGGGTTGATTCTCCAGGCTGGTTTTGAGTTCATTACTTTTTAGTCCATAGTTAACAGATTTATTATGTGTGTTAAATTATGAATCAATGTCCATGTTGATAATGGTTCACAACTACTAAAGAGACAATGAGAAGGCTGGGCACAGTGGCTCATGCCTATAATCCCCAAACGTTGGGAGGCCCAGATAGGAGGATGGCTTGAGCCCAGGAGTTCAAGACAAGCTTGGGCAACGTAATGAGACCTCTATCTCTACCAAAAAAGAAAATTAAAAATAAAGAAGACAAATTTCCAATAAAAACAAATATGCAGGCCAAAACTATACAACAATTTGAAGCATTCGTGGGAATCTTAAAAATCAGTAAAGATGAATTTATACATTTCATCTAGCATCAAAAAATAGCATTTGGGGGGAGTTCTTTTCTTGCGTATTATTCTTAATCCACATTCTTGCATTCATAGGGCCACTAGATTTTATTTCATTTTCTGAATGGCATTCACCACATTGCATATATTGAGGGGACCACAAATTCCATGGGACATTTCTATGGGCCCCAATCTGAGATGTTGATACCATCACCGTGTCCTTGAAAACTAGCACCTTGGCTCGGCGCCTATAGCTCAACCAGCTAAGGCGCCAGCCACATACAC